GCTGCTGCTGCTAGCCCCAGCGGCCTGACCGTCCCTCGTACAGGAACCGTTAGCCGAATTGCATCCATCTCCGCCGCCTCCATGACGCCGGTTACAACTGCGCCGAAGGTATTGGCGGAACCTGCTGTGCCCCCGTGCTGTGCTGCCGCTTCCATGCTTTCCTCCCATTCCGCCTCCTCATCTGCCACCACCTCGACGGGCCCAACCGGCAGCCACGAGGAATTGCTCTCCTCCGATGCAGTTCCACAGGCCGCACTCCACGTAGGTGCCGATTTCTGTGTACTCTTACATTAGTTGTTAAATCAGCTGTGCATATCGTACTCCCAGAACTGTCTTCCAGCGTCTCCCATTTATCATGGATACACTAAAACACAAAAAAACTACGAAACACCAAGGAATAACAGGCAATGCGTGATTGTCAGATACTGCAATTGTCGACATCGCGGAGAACTGTCGCAAAATGTAGGCCAAATTGAACTCCAAATCGACGCTAGCGTTGTGAGGTGATGACCTCATGGTTGTAGTTTATATAAAGGATAGCGATCGGTTCCTAGTGGGCCAACCGGCGTTTATATAGAAAAATGAAATGCAGAGGGAGGGAGGAAAAATGGTAGCTCAATTTCAAAAGTCCACACGCAACATATAAATGAAGTGCATAGCAAGGACCATGGAAGATAGTCAATAATTTTGACTAGCTGTCGTCGCTAGAAGGCTTTCCAGCCGACTCAGAAAATTCCTTAATCTTCAAGCTGCGATTCCGAATTATTTTCAATTGGTATTTGTATGCACCACTAAGTTGGGTCTTATGAACTTCTGTCGCCACGGGTTCTCCTGTTCCTGAACTTTACATGTGCAACTATTTTTGTCAACGTGGCATGTATACTTTGGCAATGCTAAGCCTGTTAACCAACCGATTCGACCTACTAATCATGCTCGCTCAGATTTCAACTTTCTGACGTTGTTATTGTCTTTTAGGAGACGATTGAGTCCTAGGAAAAACAACGCGCTTTTTCCTCCGTGTGACCTTGTTCGACCAGTCCCCCCCCACTCCCATATCCTCCAATCGGCCCACGTACCGTGTAAATATCGATTTGCTTGTGCGTTGGGACCTACTAATAGGCTGCCTTCCGCTCCCAAAAGACTTGTGCTTGCCACTGCGCAACCATCTGGCTGTCACTCGCTGTCATTTCTGCCCCCACCCCCTCACACTCCACTCCCGCCCTCTTGCAGCATCCATCACCAGCGCTATTTTTGACAAATTTATTTTCCAACTCACCGTCCCCCTCTCCTCGCTAGAACGCTCGACGGCTGCCTCCCTGTCGCGATTCACTCCCCCTTCGCACACACAGCCATTCTAAGAAAACCTACATCTCCATCTGGGGCACTTGTGCCAGTTCAGTTTTGCTTCCTTCAATAGGAGTATCGTGTTTTTCTTCTGTCCTGGGGGTGTTTCTTGCGGTTTATCTGCGTGATTCATACTCACCTGTTCACGTATATATTTATATTTGTAACTATTTTTAAACGAATACACACACATATATTCATATTAGTTTGCTTAGCTGTCCTCGTATTTTGCTCCAACAATGTAGCTCCTATGGCAGCTTTTAGTTGATTTGGATTTGCCTTAAGGTTGTAGTGGGTCATTGCACTTTCCCGTGGGTTTTCTGTTGATGGCTATCTTTGTTGTCCAGCTAGTAGTACACCTGCTCTGGGCCATTATCTAACGATAGTTTTCGTATAGGTGCCTCTTCTGTCTTTTCGACCAAAAGACGCCCATATCATTGGTAGTGTAAGTCCCACAAAGCTGATGAAAAGAAATACATGCGACTGTGTACCTGCTTGAACCCCTTACCCATATCTAACGCCGTCTCTGATGATGCGTTCGAGTGGTAATCCGAGACGTGCGTTGTTTTTGCTCCAATGTCAAAGGGTAATGCCGCCGAGTTGGTGCTTATGACTATACCGCTGCAATTACGGTATTTAAACAGTGTCAACCAGACGCCATCATTATTTTGCGACATCAGCCAGTTGACAACCTTCGAAGCTACGGCCTTTAGCGCACTGTGTTAGTCCCAGGCTCGGGTCACGCATTTAACAATGAAGCCACATGGAGAAAGCTGAGGATCATGTGAAAAGGTAGTGTTCGGTTTTAAAGTTGTTGCTAATTATGAGCTGTTTTACGATTGTTAGGTCTTCATCCATAATAAATCGTATCCGTCAATTTATC